ATGTCATTCATGTTTTCATCACCGAAAATTGCCCTAATTATGGGCTCAGGAGTACAAATTGGCACCACAATACTGCACTGGTGTGACTCAAGTTTCATAATGTGCACAACACACGCAACCTGTGGCTGTATGGTTGTCTACTCACTTTTCAAGGGACAGGACTGGTAATTTTGAAGTGTATCTTGCACGTAGGCCTAATCTTTAGTATTAGAGCTTTTGTATCTTGATCACATTTCTTGTCATCTTGAAGCATGAGGTCCTGGGAAAAAACAAGCCTATTCACTACTCAAAACCAGGATATGAAACCGTGATCAAAAACATGTCATATCAACAAGATATTACTGCACTACTTGCTACTGAATACAAAATATCATGCCAAAACTTCTGGTACATATTCATTTTACATTCATTGCCTTCAGTTTTTATTTCATCTTGAACATTCTAGGCACATGCTAGTTATAAATCCTGTACAAAATTTCATATTGATACTGTGCCAAGGCCAGGGTAAAACATATGGCTTTGCCAACAAGTCTACGCAATGCTATCTAGCTGTAGCACAACAAAGTCCCCATACTGCTTGTATTAGCTGTGGGCTATGTGAATCTCACAGTTTCGCACATGTTATCTATTTTCAAATCTGTCCAGACAAAACTTATCTGTTGTGAAGATCTCTGGGCACTGAACTCAGGTGACATTTAAAATTGTGCTCAGGCTTGATTCAGTATGAAGGGTCTCTTTGTCCAACGGACCCAAAATCAGGTGTTGTATTCTTCCTTTTGATAACATAGATATCATACAAAAGGAATGAACTGAACTGAAGATATTGAATACCAGAAATCTTTGACACACTATCATATTTTCAGATCATACATGTAGTAAAATATGATACAGATGGTGAGATTCCAGGCCACATGGCCAGGTTTGTTTACATACTGGGAAAAAGGTCAAATTTTTGTGAAGATTGGGTTTCAAGCAACATCAAACGATTTCAAACACCCAACAAGAAATGGCTTCAAACACCAAACAAGACGAGTGGGACAATGGTAAACTAGGAAATACAGTGAACATGTAAAATAGACACCCAGTAAAAAGGGCATTTTGGTGTGTATTTAAACCACTTCTCTCCAATGCTGTGTAATATATATTGAGGTCTGCACTGGAAGAGACAAGGGCTGACTTCTAACTGTCAGCAAGGCAAGAGATGGGCTTCTTGCTGGTTCTCTCATCAAGCCTTTTGGACAGGGTCTGGTTAGTGTCAAGCAAAACCAGACCAGCCCATCAACTAACAAGGAACAGTATGGGAATACTACACAAGTCACTCTCTCTGTACCTGTTAGTGGTCCAATCTGGGAAGCCCACCAAAAATCACTGCTTCAAAAAGAAGAATGGTGACTACTACTACTTGCCAATTGATACAAAATTGTTAGGAATGCAGGGCATCTCATTTGTAAAGATATTACGGAACAGTAGAGTAAAATTGTCGCATCATTAATGAAAGAAGAAACAGTTTATCAAGAACAAATTGGTCAGTTTCTCCTCCCATTTGAAAGGCCACACAAAAACATTGTTCTTTCTGCTGGGTAACAACTTTATTCTTCAAGGTAAATGACAGCAAATTTTACCTCCCTTGGCAGCTGACAAACATCAGAAACAGTCTGTGTCAGCCCTCATACAAAACAACTCAAGTTTCGTCCCTAACAACTTACAAGCAATCAAGATCAGCTCAGGCAAGATCAGAGCAGGAATCAGTCTCCCTTGTGGTGAAAATAATAAATTCCAGTTGGACAAACCATCTGTACTTTCCTTCTGTGTCCCTCTGCCCTCATCAGCACCACACATGGCCTCTATTTGCCACCCTCTCTACAACAATGCTTGGGTTTCTGCTCCCTGGGAGCCCAGAAAATGCAAGCTGACAGACCCTACTTTGTTATGCATACATGCAGGGCCAGGCCTGTCAGCTCAAATTATCCCCTTTCCTAGTTTTCTTCCCCAGAGCTGAGCAAACCAGATGATATCGGATTCTAATGGACTTTTTATCAGGATAATTTCTACAGGGATTGGGCTAAAAAATGCAAGCTTGACATGTGCGGTCAGTTGAGTTTAATCCACATTAATCCACAAGGCACGAAAACTGCATAATTTCAACCGAACTGTTCAATTATGTAGCATTATGGAGCTGTATGACATTTTTCTTTGACAGCAAATATGTGAACTTGTTATAAGATCCCAAATGTTGGGGTAGCCTTGTTGTGTGATGTATTTTTAGTTCTGGTAACTGTTTACTTTTAAGACGTAGAAAAGTATGTATTGTATGGCTTACAAATGAGGCAGGCAAAAGTATAGTTTCTTTGCCAGACAGATTTTGCAGCAATGGGGAAAAAATCAGATTTTCGTGCAAAACTACAAAGATTTTGGAAAACTACTGTGCTACACAATTTGCAATGACTATAAACAAGGAAAGACATTGATGACCATGTCTCATTGTAATGGACTCAGCATGTTGGCATGTACTGTTATGGCCACATCACCTCCTGGCCACATGATTTACATGCAACTTCCCTTCCAAAAAAACCCAACTACTCCAACACAAACATTCAAGCAAGAATGACGTCCTCATCTGACTTCCCATATCAATTTTTTGTAGACATTTGTTATGAATGAAGAGGACAAAAAATATAAATTTCAAACCAACTAGTGATAGGTAAGTTTCAGACGAAAACAATCATACTTTATATATAATCCCAGCCACGAGTAAAAAATCCTTATGCAATGTTCAATTTACCAGTAACCTTGTGGTTCCTGCAAATTTCAACGGAAGATGAAAAACCATTTGAAACCACATTAAAAACATAAGACTTTTAAAGGCCCTGCCCATATGGATAAGACCTAAGAAACAAGACAGCAGCCTTGCTGGCACCTGACCAAAGTAAACTCAGACTGCTTTCTGTCAACCTGACCTGTCTGCCATCCTGCATCTGTCTTACCACTTGTCACTGTAGACCAGCAAAAATTTATCTTTCTTAGAAGCTCCTTGAGAAAATGCTTTGTCACTCATCCTGAAAATTGCTGGGGTTTCTAATTTCATGACTCAAAGTTGTAATACTGTGTGACTGTTTAAAAATGAACACAACAGTCCTCTTTCAACATTTTTTGTCCAGAAACTGAAAAAATTTGCCACTGACAAAGATGCCAGAATCCTGAAATTGTGATTGTGAAGACAAAAACATTTCAGACATGGACATATTCAATGTCATTTTAAATTGAAAAATTATGTCCACCTTTAAAAAGAAATGGTATTGGTAAGACCTGTTTTCCAACACAAACAAAACTGCAGATGCATTACTTCATCATTATATATAGAGCTAACAAATTAAGTAACCCTGAACCACAATATTTGGTTTAAAACTGGTCCTCCGCATGAAATTGCCCATGACTCGCCCATTCACTGCAATTCGACATGGTTTACTGGCCTTGCAAATCAAAATGGGCCCTGCTCTGTCAATTATTACAATTAATTGCCCCTCTGGACCTTTCAATGTTTTATAATGGAATTATAGAAACCACACAACTGCCAGGTTGGCTACAAGTGGTACAAATTAGCACGAGACAATTTCTGGCAAACACAGTCACGAAATGGGACACAAATACCAGGGATAGTTGTAAGCATTTGTTTCTGAAGCATTGGTGGAATTTTCAAACAACAGACTAGTAATTACGTGGATTTTTTTAGTCACAGCTGTCGCAAAAGAACAAAACAGCAAATCAAAATGGCAAAACATGGACTAAAACACTAACAATGCCTCTACGAAAAAAGGAGTTCAGTTTGAAAGATCATGACATAATGATAATCTCTCAATCTCAAATCTTTCAACATATATTTCTCATGACAAAGTACTCATAAAGAAGAAAAATATATATTTGATAATAGCACAATTTTCCTAAACTTTGCTGCCTTAAAATGAGATTTCCTGAAACAGGGAAGTGGTAATTTTTGGGGAAAAAACACAGATTTGTTACTGCAAATTATAACATAGAACATTTCCAACATGGCGTCTGCTGGACAAGATTCCAGCAGATTTTGCCAGGAAAACTGCGTCAAATTTTCCTTCCAAACTCAACACACCAGCTCGCTGTGTGTGTTGCACATATTTGCTTTAGACTACTAATGCCAAATGTACGACTTCCTGGGGAAAAATCGCAGCGTCTGTGACGACAGGAAATGTTGAAGTCTTTGGGAATGCGAGGGCCGGGGTTAGAAAAATAAGCCATGCAAAACGTCAATCCGGCCCAGCCTGGAACGTCCAACATATGGCGTACAGGAATCGTTTTCAGACGACTTTCGTTCCTCAGGAACTGCCCACGTACGTGAAAAATAACACGCCAAGGATACACACAACGTATATTTACTAGAGATTTTAACTTCAGGGAAGCTAGAAATAGCATATTTTTACCTCAGGTCGAGGCGCCCTAACACTGTTTGGACGCAAAAAAAAATCCCAGAAAAACTCAAAATCTCAAGAGGCTGTCGCCCCTCCCACACCCTAAATCCGCTAGCAGCAATTTCT